AACATGAAATTGTATTTCTCCTTAAGATATCAAAAAATAAATTACCTTTAAGGACACTCCCCCCCAAATTGGACTCAGGGTGATGTAGAGGGCAGAACCTGAAGTGAAGCAGTTCATTCTTCGGTCACTAGGATAGCTTTGATATCATTAGAAAGACTATGTTAAAAGGAACACAAGTACATCTGACCTGAATGTAAATTGTGCGTGGCAGTAATAGCAATGCTGGCAGTTGAGGTACTGCTGGGTTGTCTGATCCAGGAACCTTTGGTGCTCCCCAAAATCCAACTTCCAAGAGAATTTAAGAGAACTCACGATGGAACTTTTAAAGTCATATCTTTCTTCTTTAAGATATATTAATTTTATTAGAAAGACGGATATACAGAAAGGAGAAGAGACGGAGAGGAAGATCTTCTGTCCAATGATTCACTCCACAAGTGACAGCAACAGCTGGAACTGAGCTGATCTGAAGTCAGGAGCCAGAAGCTTCTTCCCGATCTCCCACGCAGATACAGGGTCCCAAGGCTTTGGGCTGTCCTCGACTGCTTTCCCAGGCCACAAGCAGGGAGCTGGATGGGAAGTAGGACCACTAGAATATGAATTGGTGCCCACGTAGGATTCCAGTGTGTTCAAGGTGAGTACTTAAGCTGCTATGCTACTGCACCAGGCCCCTTTTAACATTTCTTTATGATGAGATGCTTGGACCTCTTGCATTTATTAATAAAATAGTGACTGAGTATGTGCTGTAGTCATCTTACTGTGCTGTGTAACACTAGGAACTTATTTCTACAATCTAATGTTCATTTTGTACCCATTTTCCAAACTCCCAGCCAGTAGTAATGACTATTCTGTGTTCAGTCTGAGTTGTGTTGTGTTGAGTTGTGTTGTGTTGAGTTGTGTTGTGTTGAGTTGTGTTGTGTTGTGTTGTGTTGGGTTGTGTTGTGTTGAGTTGTGTTGTGTTGTGTTGTGTTGAGTTGTGTTGTGTTGCGTTGTGTTGTGTTGTGTTGAGTTGTGTTGTGTTGTGTTGTGTTGCATTGTGTTGTGTTGTGTTGTGTTGTGTTGTGTTTGTTTTAGCTTCGCATACAAGAAGGAAGATGGTGTGGTGTTTCTGTGTCTGGTGCTCGTTTCACTGCCTATAGTGTCCTCCCATGTCACATGTCTTGCCGCAAATAACAGGATTTCATTCTTTTAAGACCAAATAACACCGCATGCTGTACAGGCACAGCATTGTTTCGTTATTCTCCTGGTGCATACCCTAGTTGAGTCCATATCTTGGCTGTTGAGAATAGCACTACAGTAAATATGGTGGAACCGATACTTGTTTGCCATAATGGTTGAGTCTCTCTTAGATGGCTCCCCAGGACTTGGACTGTCCAGTGATACTGTTTTCCATCCTAGTTGGATTCCTTTAGATTCCCTCCTCCGTGCGTGCAGGACTTCTCCTTTCTCTGCAGCCTCGCCAGCAAGTGTCGTTTTCTGTCTTGATGATAGCCAGTCTGACAGGGCTGAGGTGTTATCTCAGTGCGGTTTTGATCTTCAGTTCCCTGGATGCTACTGAGCTTTTTTGTTTGTTTTGGTTGACTGCATATGCTTCTTTAAAGAACTCTGTTCAGGGCCTTTGCCCTTTTCTTAACTGGACTGCTGGTTGTTGCTGTTGTTTCTGAATGCCTTGCGTTCATGTTATGAATCCTTTGTTGTTTATTTTGCTGTAAAGAAGCTACGGAGTTGGGTACAATCTCATCTATCTTGTTTTTGCTTTTGTGGATCTGTTATTTTTCTATTTTCATTTATCTGTGAGTTCCCCACATATCCATGAAGAAAGTGATGCTCCGAATTTTGGTGGGAAGGTAGGAGACACAGTGTTGACACTGACACATGCAGGGCAGAAACAATGGTGGCCACGTAGGGAAGTGGGCAGCCACAAAGTCTAGGTTGAATGTTTGCTTTCTCTCATGCTAGGAACCCCAGATGGCATCATTAACTCTCTCCAGGTCTGTTTATTCTCTCACTAGAATTCAGGATGATTAGATTGAAAGTAAAAGCTCAGTGTGGCAGGATACCTTAAGTGACCTGGATGAGTGAAAGCGTAAACACTGATGGGAGTTTCCTGTCTCCGCATGTGGCATTTCTTCTACTGGCTCAGCACTGGTTTTCCTCCAGTGTCCTAACTGCGAATGGGTCCCAGGGGCATGTGGGCCAGCCACTCATTTTAAGAGCTGGATATCAGAGCCTGGTGTGATGACTCACTGGCTAAATCCTCACCTTGCAAGAGCTGGGATCCCATTTGGTCACTGGTTCATGTCCCAGCTGCTCCAATTCCCATCCAACTCCCTGCTTATGGTCTAGGAAAGCAGGAAAGGATGGCCCAAAGCCTTGGGACTCTGCACCCTGTGGGAGACCTGGCAGAGGCTCCTGGATCCAGCTGTTGCTGCCATTTGGGGAGTGAACCAGCAGATGGAAGATTTCTCTTTTTCTGTCTTTCCTTCTCTCTGTAAAGCTGATTGCCTTTCCAATAAAAATAAATGAAACTTTAAAAAAGTAAAAGGGCTGGGGCTGGATATGAGAAACCTTCTGATGCTACCTCTTCTAAACCCTCCCTACATCCTCCTCCTACCTCGCCCCTGTGGGAACCTTAATCCTTCTTACTGTTATCTGTTCAGGAAGAGCTAAAGGAATCAGCAAAGCACACTGTGTTTCCCTTTGGGAGTCTGCGTGTTCTTGCAGTTCCCATGGGCTCCTGTCCCTGGGCCTGAATCAAACTGCCACACCCAGATTGCTGCAGGGTCTGCCCGGAGTCAGTTCTGACAGATCCCCTGCCCAGCTGGAACGGGGAGTCCCATTCTGGCCTGCACCCCTCACCTCAGCACAATTAGTAATAACGCAGCTGCTAAAGGCAAAGGAGAAATTGGGTCTCATCGTACAAAATAATTTCAAGCAATAAACTAATGGTGATTTGATTTATGAGTTTGTGATTTCAAATCATGGACTATTTTGAACAAAGAGAATTCCTTTACAAACACACATGGCCAAGACCAATTCCAGTAAGACTTTTAATTTTTACTGTACACATAAAGTCACTTTTGTGGAACTCTGAACAAGCCTAAAGTATATTTGAATCTCATCTTTAGTGCAGGCTAATAAATTGACATATTTCACTGTATCAAAACGTTTGGGAAGTAGAGGTTTACCACGCCGGAGTGGGTGTGGGGGCAGGCCGGCCTCAGTCATTAGTCAGCAAGGGCTGCAGGGTGTCAGGCGGTGTGATTGGTCCAAGATCTGGCAGGAAGCAGGAACCACTCCTGAGTAGACATCAGGGTTGCATTCACAGTGGGGAGACAAAAACATGAAAAGAGATCACCTGTTGACTACCTTTTTGCATTTCTCTTTGTTTGACAACTAGAATTCCAGTTGTGGATTGAAGGAGGCACTTAGTTCCCAAATGTTTCTTGCTGCTTTCTCTAATAGCTCCTCATTACAACCTTCGCAACAGTCCTGTGAATATAAACATTAAGTGAAAATGTATTTATAAAGATTCCACTCTTGGAGAGTTAGCAGAAGAGATCAACTGTTGGACCCAGTGCAATAGCTCAGTGGCTAAATCCTCACCTTGCAAGCACCAGGATTTCATATGGGTGCCAGTTTGTGTCCAAGCTGCTCCACTTCACATTCAACTCCCTGCTTGTGGCCTGGTGAAGCAGTGGAGGATGGCCCAAAACTTTGAGACTCCTGTACATGCCTGGTAGACCTGGAAGAAGCTCCTGGCTTCAGAATACTTCAGCTCCAACCATTATGGCCACTGGGAGTGAATCAGTGGATTGAAGATCTTTCAGTCTGTTTCTCCTTCTCTCTGTAAATCTGCCTTTCCTATAAAAATAAATAAATAAATCTTAAAATAAAATGATCAACTGCTCACTCATTTTCTCTCCTGGCTCAAAGTCCACTCTTGGCCAGTACAACCAGAAGAGTAAGCCAGAGTCCCTCAGATCGCAACCCCAAGGGATACTCTGTGTGTGTTTGAATGTCATGGGCAGTCATCAAGTGTGAGTACTTACTGAACAGTGTGTTCAGACTATAGAGAAAGATGGAGAGATGTTAATACCCTCTACCATTTAAGGACTTACAGTCCTAGATGGGGAGCTAGAGGAGCATGCAGATATCATCTGTGTCAGGCAAGATGGCAAGATGTGCACCTGCTCGACAAGGAAAACTAACAGGAAGGGAGTGAAAGCTACATTTGATGTGAGAGTCAAGTCTTCTCTCGTCTCGAAGTAGACCTTACAAGACTTTGAATGTTAAAGCTGTTGTCACTAGGTTTATGTTGCTGATTTCTTGAGTTCACAGGCCATATGTTTCTTCTTTCCTTAGTCCCTGCAGTGCCCATGCGGATATTCGTGCAGGAGTTGAGGTACTTCTATCATTACAAGCTGTAGTCTTTGGTATGTTAGAAAGTGAGGCCTGCCCACCTGCCCACTGAATGGTGTACCCCGCCCCTGACCTCTGCTCCATAATGCCTATGGATACTGTGTGTTTGCCGTTGGGTGTGACTTGTGTTGCTGAAGGTGCAGGAGTCGGGGTTATGAGAAAGGTAGGGGAGGTCTCCAGGGCAGATCAGAAAAGGCCAGGCAGCAGAGCTGATGGAAGTTAGTAGAGAGAGTGACAAGTTATAACTGAACATGTTCGAAATGCAAAACACTAAGCCTTTAAGACATTTTGGAAGTGGAAATGATGCACATTTTGGAGCCTGCTAGAAGGAAAATTCAAAGTGGGAGGATCATCAAACTCTGGAATGACCATATTATAAGTTCATGGACAAAACCACGCTAAAAATACTTACTGGATGTTGAGTTATATTTATCCTGTTTTATTTTCTGGTAGACTAAAGATGACACCAACGCTGTGGTTATATTCCCCTGGAACCCTAGTTTGCACAGTGCCTTGTGCCTGCCAAAAATTAGATAGGCAGCTTTTGATATTTTTTTTTCCTCTTGGCTTTCTCACCACAGGAAACAACAGAAATGGCCCTCCACCCTACGGGTTCCGTCTCTCACCGGAAGAAGAAATGCGGAGACAGCGGCTTCACAGATTTGACAATCAGTGACGTGGCCTGCCACCTTCGGAGGACGTGATCTAACTGGGGAATTACCGCCCATTTGGCTCCTTCCTCAAGCCCAGAATAATTTTCAGGTCAAAGCAGAATGCTCCCCATGGAGTGCTCACGTGTGCCTGGGGCCCTCAGCCCTCCGACTCCTGCAGGTGCCACTCCGACATGTATGGACTCCAGGCTTCTGGAAGGTAGCACTCAGCTCTCCAGAAGTGACCCTTCTCCTGGCCTTGTTCTCTGTGACAAAGCAAATGTCCTTTCCATGGGGCAGGCACCATATTCCATGTCTCCTTCCTCTGACTGCTGCACCTGCCTTGTTTTGCTCTTGGAAGCTCAGACTTTGCCAGGAAGTTTTGTTTGCTGGTTGAAAGCATCAGTCCCTTATTCTACCTGTTGTCTTTGGGTTTCACTGAGTAGGAGGCAACAAGTCATCCCTTTATGCTCCATGAACATTGCCGTGGGGATGATCCAGGCCCCGGGTGGCAGCCACCTTTGCACTTCTCCCATACCTCAGTAGGCACGCAGGCTCCTCAGGCCCTGCATCCATATGGCATCTCTGGGTATTTGTGGTGCGCTTACTAGCCCACCTTTGAGGAATGCTTGACTGAAAATGTGGCAGACGGACCTCAGGAGGGGAAGACACCTGACATTCCATCACTGACAAGTATCACCAGCATCGTGGACTCCCAGCCATCACTCCAGTGGCAACAGTGTACCCAGACACACCATGGGACTACTCAGTGAGCAACAGCAAGAGCCATACAAAAGAAAGGCAAGGGTCTTCAGTGCCTTGGTCACTCAAAATCCTTGCAAGAAGCTTACTTCCTCAAAAAAGTGCCTCTACACTGGCCGCTGTACTAGCTGCTTGTGTTGGACAAATATAAGCTGTAGATTATCTATCTGACTCATTTAAGGCATTTTCTGGTGCTTGTATTTTTTTTAATAAAACATCAAAGGCAAAAAATCACTGATATATTTATGGTCAAATGATCATGGAGATTTTATTGTTATGGGGAGTTAGGTATAGTTTTCCAGTTTTATCTTGCTGTCTTTTTTTTTTTTTTTAAGATTTATTTTCATTGGAAAGGCAGGTTTACAGAGAGGAACGATAAAGAGAAAGATCTTCATTCACTAGTTCACTCCCCAAAAAGCCACAGTGGCTAGAGCTGAGCCAATCCAAAGCTAGGAGCCAGGAGCCAGGAGCTTTGTCGAGATCTCCCGTGCAGGTACAGGGTCCCAAGGTTTGGGGCGGTCCTCCACTGCTTTCTCAGGCCACAATAAGAAGCTGGATGGAAAATAGAGGAGCCAGGACATGAACCAACACCCATATGGCATCCTGGTATATGGAAGTAGAGAATTAGCCAACTGAGCCATTGGGCCTGGCCCAGGTTGCTGTCTTTAAAAAGTGTCTTTGTGTTGGGGGGAGGTCTGCTATATTGGCAACAAGGAAAATCGATTTGTACAGTTACAAATGAAGAAATATATAATTATAAAAGCAAACTTAAAAAGAAGTACTATATTAAGAAAATTAATATATGTAAAAATAACTACAGGCATAATTTTAAAATCACCTCTCTTCCAACCACTCGGAAATACCCAGTATGAACAATTTAGGAATGTTGCTTTTTTTATTTTTTCTTCACAGACGTTTGTGAACTTTGGAACATTTGGACCTTGAGGTTTGTGTCTATTTCCTAATATGAATTTACCTGCAGGAAACATTGATACTTGGGTGCGCAACTGAGCTAAGGAAAGTACTGGCATCTGGGAAGTGCTTTGACCTGAGCGCCTTGGGTTAATTCATAATTGACGTATAACTACAGCCTATCTGTAGTATCAGTTGTGTCTGGTGGACTTATTCAAATTTACATGTTCAGGCTGTCATTCCTCTCTGTGCACTTGACTCCCACTACACTAACTAGCTAACCTCTTTTATACAAGCCATCTTTGCCTAGCACACAGCCATTCAGTATAACACTGAGTTTTGCTCTGACTGTGCACAGCTACCTGACGACATGCTTCCTACATGAGAGTGGAGATGGGACATGACTGCACTCGGGCCTGCCTTTTATTTCTGCACCAACAGGCTCCCCACCCTTTTCTCCTCCCTTCATATTAATTTCCAACCAAAGTAGTTTTTAAATTGCATTAGAAGTCTAATTGCTGTCTATGAAATTATTCTAATTTTTATCTATGTGTTGCAGGAGGAATATCTCCTTATTTGACTTGTCAGATATAAAAACATTAGAATTAGCAGTGAATGTTTGACATGGCTCTTAAGACATGGGCCGGTAGTCCTACGTGCCTTACCAGAACACCCAAGTCCCAGTCCTAGCTCTAGTTTCAATCCCAGCTTCCTGGGGATTGAAATAATAAAATTTCTAAAAGATTAGAATTGTATTTTGGATGGTATAACCAATCACACAATGTTTATAGAATGAAATAATCACAACTTCTAGACATGTATAAGAAGTCATTTTATAAATCTTATAAAATGTCGTGTCTTTGTTTAATAGTAGTTTCCTGATTGTATGTGGAGCATCCAGTTCCCACAGTTTGGTGCCTTCAGTCAACTGAAGAGACATGTTACTCTTGAACCTTTGCTGGGTGCTAGCAGGAAGGTGTAGTTTCATTTGCCACCTCATAGAGCCTTGAAATGTATCACACATAATGTCCAGACCTCCTGAATCCTTTTACACTGCCTGCTGGTAAAGCTGAAGCTAAGTAGTCAGTAACTCCTGGTGCCGTGGGGCTACTGTGCACATTTGGCATACTATGTTGCCTGGGGAATAAAATAAAGGGAGAAAGACCTACTCTCCCATGCCAAAGGAGGCTCTAATGTGGGAGGTGTGCATGAGGAGGTGGCAGAGCCAGTTCTAAGTCTTGCCTTCTCTTGAGATTCCATTTAAAAAAAAATGCATTCAACCTGCCGTAAAAAGAATCCTATACATTCCCTTTCCCTTTTGCATGGATCACTGCAGTCCTTTAGTCTGTGCTCCTGCATGCTTACTCTCTCTCTCAGCCCCTAATATTTTGTTTTAGAATCACAGGCTCTTAGCTTAGAAGGGCCTTAAAATCCCTTAATTCTTTGTTCTGCTCAATAGTTAAAATACCTCTTCACTCAGTTTACCTAACTCAGCCAGTTTCCAAAATTCCCTTTATGATGCCACTTACCTCTTACTTTTGATTCTGTCTCTGTTGCCGAAACATAAAAGTCTTACAGCCAGCAGCCCCACTCAACAGCGGAGCTTGAGCTAGACGCTGACAGGGTCTGCTGATGGGTTTTACTAGCTAGGCAGTGCACGTTTCTGAGCCTCTTATCATTTGTATGCTATGGCCTTTCCCCTTCTCAGTCCATCCAGGTCCCTTCCACCTGACCCTGTGGCTAAGATCTTGACTGGACCACTGTCTGGGATAACCTTTCCCCTATCAGCTACGCTATTGTCTCTCCATGCCACATGGCATGGCTTGTTCTACTGCACAGGGAATATTTTTCTGTAGATCATAAGCTTCACAAGAATAGCGACCATGGCCATGCTTCTGCATGCTTTCTGCAGTTCTTTGGACATCAGAGCCAGTAAAGATTTGAGAATTTAAACAGAGTTCACTTATGCTGTCACAAGTAGCACAGATAAACATAAATGCTAGTTGTATATTGATATTGTTGTAGAATGTTCTTTTTTTTAATCACATCAGGAAAAAATGTGAAGGCAGGCATTTGCCTGTAGGAACATTCATTTGGAACCTTTCCTAAGTGACATGTTGACAATCAGCTAAGGTGGAGGTATTGCCAACTGCATGTATCAGTCTGCAGATACATCCCACTTCATCAGATGCTGTGACGTAGGAGACAACACCTAAAACACCAGCGCCACTGAGTTTTTCCCATGGATCCCCGAGGACAGCACCAGCTCCGGCCATTGTGCCTCACATAGGTCTATGTTTGATATGCCTGTGCTTGCATTTTTCCTCTTGCAACAATGGAGAGTAAAGGATCCACCCCACCCCTTTTTGGAGATTTATTTGAAAGGCAGAGTTAAAGAAGAGATCTTCCATCTGCACATGCATTCCGCAAACGGCTGCAGTGGCCGCGGCTGGCCAGCCTGAAGCCCGGAACCAGGAGCCTTATCTGTGATTCCCATGTGGCAGGTACTTCGATAAACTTCTCTGCTTGCTCAGATGCATTAGCTGGGAGTTGGATGAGGAGTTCAGTGAGATTGACACCTACACTCGTGCGAGTTGATCTGCTTGCTGAAACACCCACCCCACCCCTTGACGGCAAGCTTCCTTCAGCTGCCCAGAGTGTTGACATCCTGTGATAATGACTTGCGTGCTTTTTGCATATTAACTTGCTATCCCATAATAGTAGCCTGTGAAAGCCACTGAGCTAGCTCTTTAGGATCTCCAATGAAATCCTACAGGACCACATGTGGCCAAAATTACACCTGGAGCTCATGCAGACCACTTCAGGTGACAGTGATGTGACGTGTCACCTCTGATGATGTTCCTGAAGTCCTCAGCGTATGTTTAGTGTGTGCAGGCCTGATCTGTGAATGTTTATGCCTTTCCTCTGGTACTTGGTTTTGCTGAATCATGCTTCTTGTACTCTAACTTCCTAAGTTCCCAAACCCCTTTCTGGCCAGGTATGTGGATGCTGTTCTGAACGGGGGCTGGAGGGGTGTTCTGAACAGGGTGGGAGGCTGGGGGGGATGTTCAGAAGAGGGTCGGGGGTTTGGATGATGGTGGTGTTCTGAAGAGGGTCGGGGGCTTGGGTGATGGTGGTGTTCTGAAAGGGGTCGGAGGCTGGAGGGGTGTTCTGAACAGGGTGGGGGGCTGGAGGGGTGTTCTGAACAGGGTGGGGGGCTGGGAGGGATGTTCAGAAGAGGGTCAGGGGCTTGGGTGATGGAGGTGTTCTGAACGGGGTCGGAGGCTCGGGTGGGGGGCAGTGCTTTATTCCCCTATCTACTCACAGGCCTGTGACGATCTTCTGGTATGGTGCATGTGAGCAGGCTGCTTACATGACAGCACTGTGGCTTTAAGGACAGAGAGAATAATGCTGACATTGAAGGTCAGATGGCAGAAAGATAAACCGGCAGATTTTGATGTGTGGGTTTTTAGCAAAGAAAATGGAAACATGCCTAACAGAAATCACTAAATGTGGTAAAAATCTATTTTGCTGCTTGGGGAAAAAAAAAAAAAAGAGTAGCATGATGAAATCAATCATGTCGCATGGCTTGCAAAGGCCTTTGGAATAGTGGACATCATGAATGCAGTCCAAGACTGCTCCATGGCTCTCTGGATGCAACATCTGGGTCCTCTCGCTCAGTACTGAAAATCTCTTCCACCTTCCTCCCCCTTTTCAACAGGATTTCTGCCAGGAAGTTGTGGAGTTATTTTTCCTTACTCTCAAACCCATCAAGGCTGGAAAGAAAATAAATGCAACAGATAAAATACAGGTGTCTCGGAAGTCATGACAGGATTTTATGTATAATGAACCATATTACAAATCTTAATACAGCAAAGATTTAAGTGTCAGCAGCAGACCAGGTGTTTGCAAAAGTTACATGTGGAAAGTCTAACTTTACAATCATAGGTTAGAGAAAGGGAGGCAATTTATTGGACATATTTCACATTTTTCCCCATGAATCATTAAATATTTAAGCACCATAAAATTCAAGCATTTCCCATGGATGTGGCAGCCAGCCTCGGTGGTTTAAAATGCATTATGCAGAATTTCTGGCAGATAATAACAATGACAATTGCAGAGTACTGATTTTTAATGTCAATTGTTTGTTCCCTGCAGAACCTACCGATAATGTCCCTGCAGGAAATTGTGATGTTTTTGTGGTACAGCAGCTTTGAGAATTGAAATAAAACAGCATTCTCAAAGACATTAAGAATTGGCCAGCTATAAATAATTCTAATCAGTAATTTATATGCCCTGTGAGAATCATAATAGAATTCTATAGTGTGAAAAAAAAGCAAGAAATATTTTTATACTAAGTAGTTTAAGTAGATGATGTGACCATAATAAAAGTAGGATGG